CCTCCCTATCCTCATCATATCCTACCAATCTCTCTTCCTCTCTCTGCATGTTTGTCTCTTCCATCAGTCCGTCTCTCACTCTCTCTCTCTCTCTCTCTCTCTTTCTCTCTCTCTTTCTCTCCTGACTACCCCCTCTCTCTCTCCCTCTCTCCCTCTCTCTTACCTTCTCTCAATTTCCCTCACTCTCCTCCTTATTTTGGTTCTCTACCATCACATGCTTGTACAAACCATCCATAATAGACCCACCTTAGCTTGCCCATTAGGCTTTCCAGCGATCTCACTTCATAGCGAGGCCCAACAGGTATCTTTATTAAAAACAGGTCAAGGATTCCGAATTATATGCGACAGGTTTCCCAAACAGCAATCAGTGCAATTGGGTCGAAAACGGAGTGCTCTTCCACAGGAGCTCACACCATGAGAAAAACAGGCAAATTAAGCATGATCAAGAAGCATGCTTCTCAAAGGATGTTGAAATTTGATCTCTATCTAATTGTATGAGACTGGTCAAAGGTCAATTTGAAAAGAAGGAGATCTTTTCACTGATGAACAAAAATCAATAAAAAGAAATTACTTAACTGAACAACAGGCATCAATACCTCCTCTTCATATTTTCACAAAACAAAATGTGGACAAAGAGCACTATAATTAAGATGTGAACCAATAACTTTCTGATTTAGGCGCAAGTGAATAAACCACTCTACCAAGAAGATTTTTGTTAGATGTGGACAAATTGCAATAAAACAGGGATTTGAACCCGTAACTTTCTGCTTGAGACTCAAGTGGATGAACCACTATACCATAGTGATCTTTAGTAGATGTGGACATGCTGCACAGGATGGGATTTGAACCAATAACTTTCTGATTGAGAGTAAGCAGACGAACCACTATACCATAGTGATCTTTAGTAGATGTGGACATGTTACACGGGATGGGATTTGAACCCATAACTTTCTGATTATTAAGCAGATGAACCACTATACCATAGTGATCTTTAGTAGATGTGGACATGCTACACAAGATGGGATTTGAACCCATAACTTTCTGATTGAGACTCAAGTGGATGAACCACTGTACCATTGTGATCTTTAGTAGATGTGGATATGCTACACGGGATGAGATTTGAACCCATAACTTTCTGATTGACAGTACGCAGAAGAACCACTATACCATAGTGATCTTTAGTTGATGTGGACATGTTACACGGGATGGGATTTGAACCCATAACTCTCTGATTGAGAGTAAGCAGATGAACCACTATACCATAACGATCTTTAGTAGATGTGGACATGCTACATGCAAGGGATTTGAACCCATAACTTTCTGATTGGGAGTAAGCAGATGAACCACTATGCCATGGTGATCTTAAGTAGATGTGGACATGCTATAATTACTGCACGGGATGGGATTTGAACCCCTATCTCTCTGATTGGGAGTAAGCAGATGAACCACTATAATATAGTGATCTTTAGTAGATGTGGACATGCTACATGGGACAGGATTTGAACCCATAACTTTCTGATTAAGAGTAAGCAGATGAACCACTATACCATAGTGATCTTAAATTAAGTTGATATGGACATGCTGGGGTAAGGATGAACACATGCTGACCCAACAATTGCTTCAGTAACATTTGCCCTGGACTTTATTATGTCAAAGATAAAGGGTTAGGGTTGCATTGAGGTGTTATGGTATGTTTTATGGTTAGGGTTAGGGTTAGGGCAAGGTTTACTTTTATTGTCGAGGGTTAAAGAAAAGAAATTTGAAATTGCCATCGATCTGATGTCAGTCTGATGGTGGTCAAATGTCAGCCTTTTGTCACTCTGTTATTGACTATGCAATTGACTGCAAAGTGATTGTTGCTGGAGTACATCATTGATCAAAACAAACTCATCAATTGCATGCATTCATAAAAATCACAGACATTCATTTGCAAGCCTCTCTTCTATCTTATAAGTCACATAAAGTGTATGTTTAGTTTGCTCTAACACATTGCACATGATTCTACATCCACATCTCTGATACAAGGTATTCCATGTAAGTTGTACGTACACGTAGGAAATGTTAATCACACATTGTAAAAGCCCTGGGGTAAACCGGTAACAAGATACTCACGGAGCAACCTGCAAATTGGATTTGAGCGGAGTAGCACTTCATAGAACCTGGCCAAATAACATGTAATCTGATGTATATTAAGATGTATGTCAAGCCTAAATAGCGTTAACTATGAGTTCTATAAATGATAAGAGTTAATGTACTTCTAGCTCTTAACACACAATATGTTGTTTCATGTTGGTAACCTCCATTTTGTTTTTAAGTTATTATAAAATGCCTTGCATCAAGGACATTAGTAACGCAGCAGGGCTGAAACTGCAACCATGTGATCCACAGTCTGGTGACGTATCAACTAGGCCACATAATCTATACATTCATCATCATATAAAAGCTACAATAAATATTTTCCAAAAAGTTCTATTTTACAAATGATAGGGACTAAGAAAATGTAACCTACAAAAAGGCAATCTGCTCACAAAAGTGTAGCTCCCATGAATATCTAATTGCTGTTATTTGATCAGCTCCTTTTCAAGTGACATGTACAGTAAATTGAATGCCCCGCTGAGCAAACTGACAGTAAAGAGGTTATGTTCTGAAAATGATGAATGTTTTAACCTTTCAAAAAAGTCTCTCTCTATTACACCCAAAAATTCCTAGGGTATAACATAATCTACTACATAACATCCGGAAAATACAACCATCCTTTTGTTCACGCGTCGCCCCCGGCAACAGACTCATACTGCAGCAATTACTCAAATTGTTGTACCTGCATGCAAGCTAATTGAAGATGCTTGGCGCAATTATCTAGTACGTGTTCCATGTACAATGTGCCATTGTCAAGGCGGCCATGTTTGCAGCAGGCATAGATGATGTCGTCATGGCGACAGACTGTATCGATAAGTTGGGAAGGAGGAGCAACAATCCAATTCTAATTCGTGGTGAGGGATGGGGAAGAGGGTATCGTTCATCAGAGATGCAGCGAGAATCTTCATGCAGTGATACTCGGCTTGAAAATGATACTGAGATGTAGATGTATAGTTATCACAGTAAGGGATATCAACAGGAAATTGTTGAGTACCCTTTCCTTTTTTTAACAGTTAAGAGAGTAAAATAATATGCTATTCACGAAGATCATGAATACACCGAAAGAAATAACCTGATTCTCAACAACATATGCCTGTAAGTAAGTGATTTCAAAAGGGCAAAGACATCATAATTGATTTCTCTTTGCGTCAAATCTATGAGTGAATTTTCCTTTTTTAAAGAAGGTGACAACAAAACAACCATGAAAGACTAAAAAGCTTGTCTTTACATCTTTCATAACTAGGTTTTTACAAACACCAGCCTGATTTACAATGGAAATAAAAAATTGTGAAAAAAAAACTATATAAAGTTATAAACTCTGTTCATCATCATCAGGTGAATATTTGCAAACAGAGTGTGTATGTTTACATGCAAGACTGAAGCCTGCTATTCCAAAAAAAGATTTTACATTGGTACTGCCAAGAATTCTCCACAGAACTGGTCAAAATTGAAAGTGTAATCGTGAATCAGTGATGCATTGTAGATGAATTCTACTTATCACATTGAACCTGTATTGAAAAGTATGTGTAGATAGATGTACACGTAGCACCCAACCATATGGAGACCTCGATATTCAGGATGACGAACCATCTTCATTCCACCCACACTTTTCCCATCGATGTATTTTTCCCCTCATCAAATAAACGGACAATAAATGGAGTGATCTGGGTGGGGGTGTACGGTACACCCCTGGAAGGCCCCTTGCTCCCCATGGTACCAGGCATTATCTGCATGGTATATCAAAAGCTGGAATTCCGCACACATACTACCGCTCCCACTCCCTTTCACTCTCACTCTCTCACTCTGTCTCTCTCTCTCTCTCTGTCTGTCTCTCTCTCTCTCTCTGTCTCACTCTCCTTCACTCTCTCACTCTCTCTCTCTCTCTCTCTCTCTCTCGCACACACACACACTACTTAGCTCTTTAACTCTTGCACACACACTATCACTCTCTCTCTCTCTCACTCCCTCTCTCACTCCCTCTCTCTCTTCTCTCTCTCTCTCTCTCTCTCTCTTGCACACACACACACTACTTATCTCTCTCACTCTCACACACACACACTATCACTCTCTCTCTCACTCTCTCTCTCACACACACACACTATCACTCTCTCTCTCTCTCTCTCTCTCTCTCTCACACACACACACACACACACTATCACTCTCTCTCTCACTCTCGCACTCACGCTAATTTGAAATGAGGCATGCACTCAACCAAACACAACAAGTGGCTCAACGAAGAGGGACCACAAAGGGGGAACGCGATATGGGCTTCTCTGATCTACTTCTTTCTTCCCTCCCCACACAGAAGGCCTTTCCATGCATCTGAGATATATCAGTTAATGCTTCAAATGGTGTCAAGGGAGGGGAAGATTGGATTTTAGAGGGATATTAAGAGGAACCAAGATGCTATGAAGACTTATTTCAAAACATTATACAAATAATCTTGAGTTAGGCAAGGGGGAAAAAAAAAAAAATCATATTTAAAGTAGCCACCTGCTTCCTTTTTTGAGGCCGTCTGTTTTTTATACAAAAAAAATGAAAAATTGAAATGAAATAATAAAGGACCTCTTCAAAAAATTTCTGAGCGACCATTTTAAAGGAAATAAGGGCCTCTTTCTTCCTTTTTTTCACAAAGGCTAAACATGATTTTTGAAAATGTGCCGAGCGGCCATTTTAAAGAAAATAAGGGACTTTTTTTTCAAAAAGGCAAGATGCTAAACACATGTTGTTTTTTTTTTTTTTTTTTTGGGGGGGGGCCTTAAGTCAATTAGATCTAAGAGACAAAATATAACTGGCATGGCATTAAAAAAATGTCCATATCTAAGACAAGAAGAAATAGAGAACACAGGAGGGGTTACAATTACCTCTAATCTGTCCTGTTCATCTCATCCAGTCCATACGTTGGCTGATTTGTGTTAAAAACGATGCAAGGAATCTTGTGGCAAATCTCAAGCTACATGTTCATGATGACTAGATGATGTCTCGTACCTGTAGGAAGAAAGTGAAGATTTATCAACCAAAACGAGTATAAACAATTATCCAAATATTAGTCTGGCAATATTTGCTTCAGGCTTCATTACATCAATAAGACAAACATTAGGTTAATGTTACAGGTTAATCAGTACCCATTGTAATAATAATATGCTGTTCTTGTTAAAAGACTTATTAGACCACACACATTTGTGCATGTAATGTATTGTCATTCTTCAACACAACATAATGTACAGTCAACAACTAAAGTAGTCACGAATACCCCTTTTACATTTGATAGGTATTTGTGTGTGTGTCTTTCGTAACTCAAGAAGGATGAATTGGTTGAATTAGGGCCTACGTTGGATGATTTTAGATGTAGGCTTTGATATGTCATATTCTCAACAAACTTATATCAGGACATATCAATTCTCCCATCAAAAAATCAAAAATTTGGTAAGGGTATAAATAATTTAGTTGTTAAATGTGTTCATCATACACAATGTACAGAGGTGTACCTGCTATTACAGTATGCACATGAACACCAAAATGTGTTCATTTCTATGTACTGTACATGTATATCTGACTAAACCAATGTACATTATATAAATGTAAATGAACGTGCATCATGAACATTGTACATTTTCATGTACAAAGTCCTACAGTTAGTATGTGCTTATCGTACATGTACAACTGTCTGCCTGTATGCACATGGACACCACAATGTATACATGTCCATGTACATCTGTCTGAACCAATGCACATTTTATACATGAATGTGCATCATAGACATTGTACATGCACAATTGGGGGTTGAAGCAATAAAATGGAAGGTAGTTACATGTTTCTCTTATCTACTGTAGATGTAAACACACTATTCATCACAACTTCACGATTCTGCTGGGGATAACATTTATGTCTCTTTTTTCTTCTTTTTACCTGGGGGGGGGGGAGGGGTGGTTGGTATTGGATTGAAGGGGGGATATTTTAATCATGTCATTATAATGATACATGTAGTAATGCAGACATTTATAATGCTTTGATTATTTGTTTGATTATTGTTTTATAATGTACATGTACATGATGTTTGTTTACACATGCGTGACATCCCCTCTGAGAACCTAGCCATGAACTAATCCTTGTAAATTAATATTTTACGGCTTCTTGTATAATATGGTGCTCTTGTAGTTGATGAGGCCATACTTTTCTTACAAAATAGTAGAACATGACCTAGTTTAGATGACAATGTAGAGGTGTTGCGGTTCAGTGGATAAGTCTCCAGATTATGAACCACAAGGTATAGGATTCTAATCCCTGCTGCACCACTAATGTCCTTTGGCAAGACATTGATCTACTTTTGCCACACTTTCCACGCTTGACTCGGGTGAGGCAAATGGGTACATGGAAGGACTATTCCTTGAAATGCTAGAGCGCCATAAAATGGCAGCCTCGTTATAAAGCCGTGGTGATTATGTGGTGCGCCATGAGTGTCAAGTGTGTGTGACGGACATGAGCTCTATACAAGATATGGTTCTATTCATGAAATAAGCATAATATGCTTCATATTTTATGTACAGTATGTATCTTGTAACACACAGATATGGAGTAGGCCAACTACCTTTATACTTCTGGCTACAGTCTAACCTGCTCTAGCGACCACCTGTGTAGAAAGACCACCTGCCTACATGTACAAAGCCCACATTTTTGGTTTCCCTTGAAAATAGTTTCTCATTGAAACATGTACTAAAGGAACATGTACATACAGACCACCTGCCTATAAAGACCACTTTTCTTGTCTCCCTGGGGTTGTCTTTATAAGACAGGTTTCACTGTACTTTATTTCCATTCCTACTTGTAATTCATTGCATATAGAAAATGTCACAGTAAACCGCCACAGTTGTCATGTCATGTTTCAACAAGACAAATAAAAGTTCTGAATGCTTTAATCTATGTTAAAACACATGGACACAGACCGAACATACATTAACATTCCTTACATGTACACAACATGTAAACATGGCTCAACGTCTTTTCAGTACACTGGAGACTTGTGCATTCAACTTACTGACATGTACATGTAACATATAAAGAACATACATGTACATGTACACAATAAATTCCATATTCCATAAATATATAATGTAAGGTAGTACAGGTAAACATGCATCAATAGTATTCTTGTTGTAAAGCTCACAGAAATACATAAAAGCACATCACTCATGTACAACAGAAAAAACAAAAGAACATCATCAGAATTCAATAGGTACAACAAAAACAAATTTCCTTGCATTTGCAGAAAAGCCAACACACTAGAATCAAGACATACTGTACATTTTCTAGCACTTGATAGGTTAATGTATGAAAAGCTGTGCAATTATCGTCAATCTCCCATCCTCCTCTCTCAACACGTATATTACCCTACCCAGTCTCCTCAGGGAAGATTTCCATACAATACCAGGCCGTGATCCCATCGATGCTCAAACACCGACGTGTTAAAACACGCCTCATCAACAACAATACCGCTACATCACGTCAGTCATGCATACCTTGCAAGCCGCCAATCCTGAATTGAAATTACTCACGCTACAAGAGAATTCATCCCTGATTTGAAATCAATCTGAAAGCGAATAACACATGCTTACTTTTTTCTTCAAATAATGAACCAAGATGTTGTGCAGTTCTGAATGTATGTGTAGTTGTTTATCAAAGGCATCGAGAGCACTGATTTGAAGTATATATGAATACACAGTGTATTTTAGGTTTTAGCCCCTGTATGGAATTCTCTATTCTTGCACTCAAAGCAGTTATGCTGTGTGAGCCATGCTGGATAGAGGACCGCTACAAAGTGTGAATTATAAACAATGGTATCTTATAGCATGATGAGGATTGCACGAGAGGAGAGAAAGGAAGAAAGGAGGAGAAAGGAAGAGAAAGGAAGAGAAAGGAAGAGGAATACAGGAAAGAGGGAAGGAAATAGAAAGAGGTTTAGAGAGGGCGAGACAAAGACAGAGACAGAAAAAGAGAGAGGTAGCGTAACAACAACAAAATACACAGATATAAGGAACAGAGTAGAGAGATAAGGAGAGATGAGAGGAGGGGAAAAAGGAAGAGGGAGAGAGAACTAGCAGGAGATAGGAGGGGTGTGAAGAAGGGGGAGGGACATAAATAGGAGAAGAGAGACAGAAGAGAGGGGAGGAGAAATAAGAAAGAGGAAGAAAAGAGGGGGAGAGAGAGAAAGAGATAGAGTGAACAAGTGAGAGAGAGAGAGAAAAAAGGAGGGAGGGAGGGAGAGAGAGGGAGAGAGAGAGAGAGAGAAAGAGAGAGAAAGAGAGAGAGAGAGAGTTACAGAGAAAGAGAGAGAGAAAGAGAGAGAGAGATAGAGTGAACAAGTGAGAGAGAGAGAGATAAAAGGAGGGAGGGAGAGAGAGGGAGAGAGAGAGAGAAAGAGAGAGAAAGAGAGAGAGAGAGAGAGTTAGAGAGAGAAAGAGAGAGAGAGAGAGAGTTAGAGAGAGAAAGAGAGAGAGATAGAGTGAACAAGTGAGAGAGAGAGAGATAAAAGGAGGGAGAGAGAGAGAGACAGAGAGGGAGAGGGAGAAAGAGAGAGAAAGAGAGAGAGTTAGAGATAAAAGGAAGGAGAGAGAGAAAAAAATAAGGGAGGGAGGAAGAGAGTAAGAGTGAGAAATAGATAGAGTGAGAAATAGATAGAGTAAGAGAAAAATATATATACATGATGGACATGTAACATTCCATAGCTTTAAAACAGAACCAAACAATTGCTCCTTAATTAATATTTAACTCGATTTTCTTGGTGGGTCAAAACAGTGAGGCAAAGAAGAATGTGGATACTACTAGGTCACAGTTTAAGAATATATATGTACATATGTATGATGTAAATAAAACAAGAATATGTAAGATTGAGAGAGCTCAGAGGGGAGATTCTAGGAATAAACCTTAGAAAAGAGAGATTAAAAAAAGATGCTAATTCAAAATAGAGTAAAACAGATAAAGACTGTGTAACATTAAAAAAAAACTTGTTTTTATAAAAAGGCAATGAAAAAAAGGAAATATCACCATCCGCATCTACAAGCCATGAGTAAACATTGGAAGTGACAAGATAATATGATACACTGTGCATTCAAAACAAAATTCACGCCAGAGGACACAACATGAAAGATATATATTTTGTTCAGGTCATACAAACAATGCTATCGCCTGTAAAGAAAAAGAAGCACAAAAGAGACTGATGGAATATCAGATTCTGAGGGATCAAATTACTCTATTTCATTTCCTTAGCCTGAATCGAAAGGGCAAGAGATATATCAAACTGCAATGCAGATATTTTTACAATTGTAATGATGGGGTAGGCAAGTTTTGGATTTGGGAACCTGGGAACTATGGTAAATATAAAGAAAGCCAGAATGATGATAAACATGTATAACACTTGCTATGTAAACTTCTGTTTCGTTTGTTTATTTGTTTGTATGCAGGAGCAGCTTTTTATACTATCTTACAGAAACAGGATCGCAAAGATTTTTCGAGAAATCAACTTGGGACAATTTCAAAATCCTCTTATGTATCCCATTAAAGATTACATGTAATAACTATAATAATAATAATAATAATACATTACATTCCTATAGCGCTAATTACAATGTTTCTAAGCGCTATACAAAGTTTGCAATACTTAGATAATAATACATAATGTATTATTGTAATGTTTGCACCCATACATGTAAGTACATGTAGGTGATGGCCAGGACTACTGAAATTGCTTTAGCTTGAATATTTTCAGTCCTTGTGATCATGTGTAAAAAATATGAGATTATTTTAAAGGCAATTTGAATAAACTTTTAACCCTTTTTCGAGAGTTCTTCATCCTTGTGTGCCTTCATACTAGATCTCCTTTAGGCCTAAAAAAAAAATTGATGACTTGGCGTAACGGGTCACTGAAAATTAGGGTAGGTAGGGCGATTTTGTTTTTTTGTTTTGTTGTTTTTTTGTTGTTGTTGTTGTTGCTTATATTTGCATACATGAAATTAGCCATTCATACACATACATACATACAGTGGCGTAGATAGGTCCTTAGACCTTGGGGATGATCTGATGAGAGGGGTAGACCACAATATGTTCAAACAACTCCACGCACACACACACACATATATGGACACACACATATATGGACACACACACTGTGTGAGCAAAGTGAGCAAGAAATTGTTGAAATCTTGATCACCTTGGGACCTGGGGGATGCATACATACACCTGCCCCCCCCCCCCCTGCATACATACATGTACATGTACATACACCCTCATGCACATAAAATGCAAACATACGAACGCATTAATAGGTTTCCAACAGACCCCAGCCTGAGATATCTCAGACACTGTCTTCAACAGGATAAACAGGTGAATATGTAGGTTTAGAAGGGGCTGTTCACAAATATTAGTATTTTCACAATGTATTGACTAGCATTTTTATAACTTGTCTAGAGGTTAACATGTTAACATGTTAACATGTATCCAAAATCTTGAAGAATGAGGGTTGAAAAGAGTAGCCAATTACAACTTGTGAAAATATTTACAATTGTGAATGGCTCTGTAATAACAAACAGTTAAAAAATGTCTCCAGTATTTCAGAATCCTTTATCCAAAAAAAAAAAAAAAAAATAAAAAAAAAAAAAGCGTAGGGTCGGCGATAAAAATAGGGTCGGGCGGGTTACGCCAAGTCATCAATTTTTTTTTTTAGGCCTTATCACTAAATGTCCATTGTTTATTTATGATTGAGATCTTGCAAATGTCTCTTTTTCTGTAAAAGGGAAATGTAATGCTACTCCCACATAAATGTATCTCCTGTTATCTCTGTTTATTTTCCACTCAAAAGTATATTATTTCAATTTGTTTGATTGACAGCCTTGATTAACAATTCATCCACTTCTTGTATTACAGATTAATTATCTGAACTTGTATCGTTCTCTCATTTAGTCCATTTCTCCCCTATGTATCCCCTCCTTTGTGTAACTTATATTCTCTCTCTCTTTCTCTTTCTCTCTCTCTCTCTCTCTCTCTCTCTCTCTCCCTCTATATCTCTCCACCTTTCCTCATCATCTATCAAACCCATCAATCCATCTTCATTTTATGGAAAGCATCTTTCAAGTGTTTTTCTGTCCACCTGTCTCTTTCTTGCACCCCTCCCCCTCTCTCTCTCTCTTTCTTTCTCTCTCTCTCTCTCTCTCTCTCTCTCTCTCTCTCTCTCTCTCCCTCCCTCTCCCTTGCTCTCTCTCTCTCTCTTGCTCTTTTTTTTTCTCTCTCTCTCTCTCTCTCTTTCTAGCAGCCTGGATTACGAGTACTATAGGTGAATTATTCAGGATGAGTGAAAATGGAGTAAACTGGTTCTGATTTGCCCTTGAATTCATTTATGACATGCATGTCATCTTGCATCAGGTCTAATTGACTTTCAAATGGTATAAGTGCAGTTCTTCATATAATATTTTAAAGGGTCATTCTCAGCGCTTTGAAACTGTTATGTCACAAGCGCTATATCAATTTTTCATATTATCATTATTATTATTCACAGGCAATGAAGTGCAAAAGTCCTTAATGCATCTGCTGGGACACTTTTTTAAATATGTTGCATGAGTGACACTTGCTCCAGTGACACATGCAATTTTGTATTGAAGTGTTGTTGTTGTTGTTGTTGGTAATAGTTTAATGGCGTTCATTCAGTATTGATTGAAATATTTCAGAGAGTGATTATGAACCAATCAAAATATTGCCAATTGAAGGATTCTAATGCTCAATGTATTTTTTGTTTTTAAATTTCTGACATGAAATGCAATAACATAAATTGTGTATGTCGCCAAAAGTAGACAGAGTGTTAATTGTACATGTAGCAGAATGGTTTGTCCTTTCATCTCCTGCATCAGATTAAAAAAAAATTTAATCATTTTTCTTTCGGCGGGGGGGGGGGGGGGGGTGGGTAATCAATAGAATGTTATTGTGCCCAAACCATAAAAGAAGGGTAATTGTTACAAAACAATTACTATGAAGGGCATATCTCTGTCCTCGACTGAAATACTGGGCAAAGGCAGTCCTCCTAATAATCCTAGCCACGAAAGATGTTTTCCTTTCATGACGGCGGAATTACAGGAGGTTCTTTGATGTTCAAAGCCAATGTAATCTGAGTCCTGATGGGATCACACTTCATGACTATGCTTCACACCTTCCAAATCAGGTCCTGAGGTGTTGATTGTATCATCATACCCTAATGAAAAGAAGGCTTTTTTTCAAAATCTCCAAAAATGTATTTACTTTAAAGGTCCCATTTGCAGCCAACATCAAATTCTCTAGAACTTTGCAGGAATTATGAATATGTCATGTACATGTATGTCCTATCTAACGTCCTATTAAACGTTAGCA